TGACTCAATACATATCTTGTTAAGAAATGTTTAATTCGAGCACCAATAGTAAACTAACGGTTCTGACTCAGGTGATTGAGTGTGAAGTTTGGCATTCATTTTGAAAGTTCATTCAACTCTTTTCTTGGTGATATATTGAAGGATTTTTCAGGTATAAATTTGTAGTAACTCTTCAGCTGTGATATCAAATTAAAAACTTCAAGTTGATATGAAATTTCCCAGAAAAAAAAGAAAAAGAAAAAAAGTTTGAGTAACTTTGAGCTGTGATATCAAATTTAATAGTTTGATTGTTATGAACGCCGCTGACTGGATCTAATTAAGTGATTATCTCATTCTTTTTAGACCATAGTTTAGTGAACATATTGAGTCCGTAAACCTTTTTATTTTATTATTATTATTATATCACTATTTTGATAATAATAAGTAATGATAATCCATGCTATGGGGATAAATCAACAAAGTTAAGGGTGTGATCATTATAACATTTCAATCAGCTTACGTAAACACGGATCAGCCCATCACCATGATATCACTCCCATTGAATTCAAAAATGTAAAGAACAAATGGCTGTGATCTCAGTCACCACCATTAATACGTCTTCACCGTTCAATTATTTTTAAAAACGCCACCACATAAAGAATTTCTACTCAACGGTCACCTGCGTGTATAATAATTCATCGTCTTAAATGCATGAGTCAAAGTCACAGGGCTGAGCCAAAACTTTATAAATTTTTCTGAAGTGGAGGGTCCCTCTTTGTTGATTATATCAAACCCAATTGTTGCTTGCTTGCTGATGCTGAGAACCGACAGGTGAAGGAGAACGCTGTGAGAGTTTGGTTAACCAAGCTGAAAGACGTGTCTTATGACATTGACGATGTGTTGGATGAGTGGAACACCAAGCTTCAGAAATTGGTAAGATAAGAAAGCTGAAGATGCTTTAATCCCTGAAAGGTACGTTCCTTCATTCTCACTATCTGGTGTTAGGCATTGGTTATGCGTTATGAAATTGGCATCAGGATAAAAGATCTTGACAAAAAACTTGATATTAGCTGTGGAGAGAGAGAGATTCCTTTAGACCAATCATCGAGGTAGTAAAGAAGTAGAACGACAAACGCTACCTCGCTATTGATTTAACAGAGGTTCGTGGAGAGAGAAAGTAAGAATTCACTAGTCGATTTGCTCTTGAGTCAAAGTAGTCAACAACAAGTCCTCCCCATAATCTCGATAGTAGGGATAGGAGGAATTGGCAAGACAACTCTTGCTCGATTAGCTTTAATGATGATAAGGTGAACACCATTTTGATAAAAAAATATGGGTGGTGGTTTCTGAGCCTTTCGATGAGCTAAGATTGCAAAAGCATCATTGAATTCTCACAAGTAGTCCATCTCAATTAGTTGGATTAGAAACTGTATGCAAAATTAGTCAACAAATTGAAGGAAAGAAGTTTCTTTGTCTTAGAGATGTATGGACTGAAAATTTGAAAAATGGGAAAATTTAAAACGTACTCTCAGTGTGGATCTTAGAAAGTAGAATTTTAGTGACCACACGTAAGGAGAGTGTTGCAAATGCCATAGGAACAACCAACACAATCTTATAGGATGCTACCAGAGGAGGAATGTTGGTCCTTGTTTTGTCAACTTGCATTTTTGGGAAAACCTAATGAAGAGTTTGAAGAAATTGGTAAAAAAATTATTAAAGGGTAAAGGCTTGCCTCTTGCTGTAAAGGCTTAGTAGTCTTTTGCGTTTTAAAAGAGAATTTGAAGAATGGGAAAATGTCTTAGAGAGTGAAATTGGGAATTAGAAGAGGTAGAACAAGAGGTTTTCAACCTCTCTATTAAGTTACTATGACTACCCTACTTTGAAAAATGTTTCGCATATTGTGCTATGTTTCCAAGGATTAGAGATAGAGAAAGAACAATTGATTAAGTTATGGTGACACAGGTTATTTAAAGTCAAAAAACTCAAAAAGGATATGGAGTTAGTTGGTGAAGAGTATTTCAAATCTTGGCAATGCGTTTTTTCTTTCAAGATTTTGAAAAAAGGGAACATGAATTTGATATACTTTCTTGTAAAGTGCATGATATAGTGCATGATTGCTCAATTTTACCAAAATGAATGTTATCAAATGAGGTTGGTAGTAGAGAAGAAATTGAATTAGAATCTTCTTATGATAAAGTTAGACATTAATGATAAGATTCAAGGAGGGGCTTCATTTCCTAGCTCTATTTATACTAGAAATACTTTTCTACGTAGTCTTGTGGTTGATTGTAATTATGGTACTGACCCCAAGATAGGTTTGTCCAAATAGTTGATCAATTTACATGTCTAAGGTCATTATCTTTGAATAAGTGCTCAATTGAAGAAGTTCCTGTAGAAATAAAAAAATTAATACACTTGATACCTTGATTTATCTTGGAATAGAAACATAAAAGAATTACCTGAGACATATGTGGGTTATAATTTACAAACCTTAGACATAATGGAGTGAAATATCAGAAAACTGCTCACAGGATTGGAAACTAATCAACTTGAGACATTTGTTAAATAGGGGGACTGATAGTATAAGTTAACAGCCAAAAAGTTTGAGAGATTAACTAGTCTTCGAACATAGAAATATTTGTTATAAGTGAGGGCAGTTATGGTGGTGAAGAATGTTATGTTGAATGTCTAAAAAACTTCAAACATCTTCGAAATTTGGATAAAAGGGTTGGGAAATTTGAGAGACGTGGATGGGTTAAGGGAATAGAATTAAACAATAAGAAAAACTGCGTTTTGAGGGTAAACTTTACAGGAAGGATGATGACGAGCAAAATCAACAACTTCTTGATGAGTTGCAACCACATCCAAATTTAGAGACATTAGCGCTAGAAATTATAGTGGCAAAACTATTTTCCCTAATTGGATGATGTCATTGACCAAATTGAGAAGGTTATATCTTAGGGATTGTGTAAACTGTGAGCATTTGCCTCCTTTGGGTAAGTTATCATCTCTTGAATTCTTTTGATAACTAGAAGAAGAGCGTGAAAAGAGTGGGTAATGAGTTTTTGGGAATAGATAGTGATGCCATGTCATCATCTTCATCAATTATTGCGTTTCCAAAACTGACATTCTAAGTTTCTGGTACATGGAAGAATGGGATGAGTGGAATTACGGGAGTACAAAGGCGGACATGAGATATTCCAGTCAGCCATCTCTTAAGACCTTGCAACTTTAATTCTGCCACAAATTGAAGTCTCTACCAAACCACCTTATAGAGACAAGTTGAAGAAGGAAATAGGTTATTGTCCTCTTCTCCAAAGAACAGAGAACCAATAGCTAATCGTCATCTTCCTTTGATTAAGTTCTTTGAAATTATCAGCTTCAACACGATTTTCTTCAAAACACGGTAATTTCCTCTCTTTTCCCTTTTACTAATTTGTTTTGAATTAGAAATTAGTGGTTCTTATGTTCCCGAAACAACTTGAGTGAATTGATAACTCATCATCATCTCCTCCAGTTTTAACCAACATCTCTCAAGTTTTAACTTCAACTTTGATTCTGCAAAGGGACATCCTTTGAATTATAATATGCTACAATCGTGATCAATCCACAGGCAATTCCTCTCCTTACAGGTAAAACCTTCAGTTTGACTAACATCTCTCAATCTTAGCTTCAATTTTCTGAAGTATTCGGTCCATTATGCTCTCAATTTATGATGATTATAAACCAAGTTATTGCTCTCACCAAGTGAAAGATTCCTTTGGTCTTTCTCTGACTATAAAAATTGACCAGTTTTAACATCCCCTGCACTTAGTATGGAAATTTTAACTTATAATCGGTCTAACATCCTATTTTCAAGAGAATTTTGATATTATTACTTCATTTTCATAATGTGAATTTGTGTTGTTCTTTTAAGGCACACATGCTAAAGTTTTTTTTTTTTTTTTTCAAGCTCAGCAACCAGGAAATCTGCAGGAGACATCTTGTGAAGAAGTGCTGAATATCGGCACCATTGAGTTTTAAGTAATTGTTTATGTTTTGTTGTGGATCTGAATTGGACTAGGTAACAAGGCGATAGGAATTCTATATAATCTTCAATCTGGACATTTTATCATCTCTTTTTTGTCTATATCAGCCATCATTTCTACCAGAAAACAAACCATTTCTCTATAGCACATCCTAGTTTCTTTTCATCTGTCAGTGCGGCAATTTTCTCTTCAACTTCTTGTGTGGATGCAACACTAAACAGTTTTTGCATTTTATTATAGCATTTTATAGTATTCTAATTACCATCAGTACATGGGCCTTTTAGCTTGATTATGGATGTCAGCTCATGGTTTTTGATGTGGAACCTAGCTACAGCAGGAATGGTGCCATTCATGATTCAACCAAAAATAGCTTTCTCAAGCAGTTAACATGACAAAACTATACATGAGTTCAGAAATTGCTGTTAGAGATTTGGAACTTTTAAAAACATGCTATGAACTAGCAGCACTAGATTGAAATTTAATTCCAAGCAGCATTTTCTTCATTAAATAAATATTCGTTGCTCAAAAACTTTTCCAAATCTTTTTCCATACAACTACCTTGAAAGAAAGTCAGTATTATAACAGCATATGACGTTCTTTTTTCATGGTGTTTTCATTATTATCCTTTGGGAATTATCTCATGATACGTTATGTTTCAGACTCATGCAAGCAGATGTGACAAAGCTCCATTAACTCTCGATATGGTTTCTTTAGTGACTCTTATTAGTGAGTGTAAGAAATTGGGCTATGGTATTTATATAACCAGCATTAATTGTACTTCACTATTGTGACGCTTCTGCAGATATGATAGATATATCTCCTTTCCCAGTAAGTAGAATTCTTTTATGCTAATGATGGTTGTTCCAAATATCTTTTGGTTATTAGTTATTGGATGACTTTTTTCCTATAATTGAAATCTTTTTGACATCTCACCCTTGATGCAGTAAAGCAAGTTCAACATGTAATGATTTTCTTCAAAAGTCAATGTCAAGCATGGTGTACCACACAAATTGGTAGAATTAGCTCGTTTCCTTTCGTCTACACAACAGCGTCTGCCCAACAGGTACTTTCTTCTCGTTTTTGTTTCTGGTGACAGGATGCTCTTGAAATTAACTATTCAGTTTGACACATGTGTTGTATGTCATCAAGAAGTTTGATGTATAGTAGATAAGATAACAATTACATTTTAAAGAGAAAACAAGGCACTTAGCATTAGTTTGTGGTGATAATATTTGCTGAAGAGGGATCATTAACTCACAGATATGCTTAAATTGGTCGAAAACTGAGAGTGGTTGAATAGAGTTTTGGCTGCATTAAAGGACCTGTCAATGACTTCCGACTGTGTTTAGGTATTTCACCTTTCAATTGTGCTCATAGTCAAAGACAGTCAATCTGCTTTGACAATACCTATGAGAAATATCTGTGCTGAGATATTCTACTCGGGTTTTCTGTTATTTATGTGAATTGCGGTCATGTGTTAACAGTTAGCAGACCATGAGTCCAAAGCATGAATGAGATGGTAGGATTGCAAGCGGTATAGAGTTAAAGCAGTTAGTATATTTGTAATTCTCTAGTAGAAAATTTTGAATGAAATATCATATTGTCATTGGAAATAGAAACATATTTAAAATTTTTGGATTATATCATCTTCTTTCTAGTTTTTGACTGATTATACATATTGGGCCTTTTGTGGATGGAACCAAGGTATTATTCAATTAAGCATCTCAGCCTAGAATTTCAATGTTGATGAAGAAACCTATGAATGATTATTTGGCAGAATCCTTTGCAAGGTACTTCGTTTTCAATGTTGTATACGTATTGATGAATAATGATCTTGAATCTTCTTTTATGAGAAATTACTGTTATATGTGACAATAAACTTGTCATAAGTTTTATTAGTTAAGTCATATTCTTCTGTTCTTGTAAAAAATGAAGCTTTTAAGTTTTGTTTGAAAGTAGAAATCCATTTCATGTCTGCATTTCTGTAGACATATTTAGATCATGTTTCAAAGTAGCAAAAACTGTGTTTTAAAATCAAGATATTGATTCTTCTGTCATGGATATTTGTTAATCTCCTTCTAAAGTTATGTCATGAACACAAGGTATCTTCTGAAGGAGACATATACCATATGGCAACAAGATGTGACAAGTCTCCATTTCTTCAGTTTGAAGCAACATTTAGTACATAAACACGAACATGCGCTCAGTCAAATTGAATGCTTATTTTTCGGTAAGTTATTTTAGCAATGCGAACCCCTTTTTTTATCAAATCTTCATCACTCTGTTTTCTGGGAACTTCTCAAACAGGATCTACTGCATAGATAGGTACCTGTCTTGCAATGATATAAATCCAGAGTGGTGGTAAAGCTTGTAGATGGAGAGTCAAACGGGATGAAGTTACGATTTATAGCTGGATTGGGCAGAATGTATCTATCTCAAACCAGCTAGCTGCTTGACATAAGCTTTCCGTATCTTTCCTTTGTCGTCTCTATTGGCATTCAGTGATTGAAATGTGCGTATACATATTTATACATCCTTTAAGCTGTTTAAAGCAATTAGTTTCCCTAATTTACATGAATTGAAAACTTTATAACATATTGGGTTGGCTTTACTTCGTTCCTCCCATATGTAGGTGTGAAGCCCAGCAGAAACCCAAAATGTTTTTGCAAATTAAAACCCAAACTTATTTCATCTTCTTTTCATCATGTAGCAGCCAGAAACGAGGAGAGGGAGGGTGGTGTTCTGCTCAGCTGCTGTCCCTTCTACTCCAGCACCATTCAGATCTTTCCACCATTATATATGTTTGGAGAGAGGCAAAAACGAAGAGAAACAGAGAGGAAATCTGAGTTTTTGAGTCTGTAAACAGTGCATCATCGAATCATGATCTGGAGCTCGTTTGCTGTCCATTCGTTCGGTTTTTGGATATGTTGTTCATGAGACCACAACTCTGCATTCTGAATGGTGGAGATTGAAACCCAGGCACGTAAGGCTTAATTGTGGGTGAAACTCGAAACTGCAGTTTTGTGTGCTTCTTGAGATTATTCTTCCATAAATTGTGATATTTCTTCCTGTTTTGCTGAGATTGTTGGTGTTGGATTTGTGAAGTTTATGATGTTTGATGCCTCTAGTTTGCACTAGAGAAGACTTGTATTTCCATTTTTGAAATAGTGAAAGACTTTAATGGATTACGGTCCCGTGGTTTTTACTCCTCACCTCGGCGAGGTTTTCCACGTAAAATTTGGGTGTCATTGATCTTTAATTTTCGGCATATATTTGTAGCTTTTGATTATTCATATCATGAAAGAAAAGAAATTGTTGAAAGCTAGGTTCCTCTTTAGTACGCAAACGTGAACTGGACGTTGATTGAAATTCTGCTCTTTTGGGTTGATTAACACATTCGACCAAGAAATATTGATAGAGCCAATGAGTATAGTCTCATAACTAGTCTGCGAACAATAAGAAGATTTGTTATAAGTGAGGGCAGTTATGGTAGTGAAGCATGTTCTATTGAATGTCTAAAAAAATTCAATTCCCTTCGAGAATTTCGTATAGAAGGGTTGGGAAATTTGAGAGATGTGGATGAGGTTAAGGGAATAGAATTAAACAATAAGAAAAATTTGCGTTATTTGAGGGTGGGCTTTAAGGGGAGGATGAATGTGGAGCAAAATCAAGAACTTCTCGAGGAGTTGCAACCACATCCAAATTTGGAGATACTAAAGCTACGAAATTATAGAGGCAACACTATTTTTCCTAATTGGATGATGTCATTGACCAATTTGAGAAAGTTAAATCTTTATGATTGTATAAATTGTGAGCATCTGCCTCCTTTGGGTAAGTTGTCATCCCTTGAAATTCTTGGGATAGATGGAATGGAAAGTGTGAAAAGAGTGGGTAATGAGTTTTTGGGAATAGAGAGTGATGCCACATCATCATCTTCATCAATTATTGTGTTTCCCAAACTGAAATTTCTACGCTTATGAGAGATGCAAGAATGGGAAGAGTGGAATTACGAGATTACAAAGAGAGGAGATGAAAATATTACAATCATGCCATCTCTTCAGAACTTGATAGTTCATTCATGCCCCAAATTGAAGTCTCTACCAAACCACCTTCATCAAATGACAATGTTGAAGAAGGAAATTAGATATTGTCCTCTTCTCTTAAGAATAGAGACCAATAACTGATTGTCATCTTTGTCTGATACTACTGATTAAGTTCTCTCGAATTATCAACTTCGACACTATGTTTCCTCCAAACCACAGGTAATTTCCTCTCTTTATCATTTTGTCTTTATGTGGGAATAATTTGCATCTTTTAATATTTAATACTCTAATTATCAATCAACATTTTTGTAATCTTTAATCGTCTTAATGAATCTAATTATACTCTTAATATAAATCTTGTAATTTAAGGATGGGTCGGCATTGATATTTTATGTTTTTCATTTTGTCTACTCAAAATAATAGGATTTGAATCAATCAGGGTTTCTCTTAGAGTGAAGAAGAACTTGAGTGGATTGATAGCTCATCATCATCTCCTCTAGTTTTGACCAACATCTCTCTAAGTCTTAACTTCAACTTTGAATCTGCAAAGGGACAACCTTTGAATTCTCAAAATGCTACAATGGTGATCAATCCACAAGTAATTTCTTCTCTCCTTACAGGCTAGCTTCATTTTTATGATGAATAAACTTTGGGTGAGATTCTTTACTGTTAATATTTTTATAACTTTTTAAATAAATAATAATTTTATCCTTTCTAATTATTAATTTTATTATGTTATATTGTTACAGGGGAAGATATTAGTTTCTCAGCAGAGCTACCGTTCTCTGGCATACAGAAGAGAGAATTTCAAGAGATTATGGTACTTGTAAATTATTTTGTTTATGGTTCTTTGTGGAAATATTTTAATGTTTTTCAGCACAATTTCTTAATTACTTTCCGGATTATGCAAATGCTACTCAGTCTCAATCAGCATCTTCATCTGTTGATGCTTTTTTTCCCTTCATTCTCAAGTTTAAAGTATTCTCAATCAGCAAATGCAAATGCTTTTTCATTGAAATAATAATGTATTTTGCAGTTTAAAACCTCAGTTTTGTTTTTCAATAGTCGTGTGCTTCAACGTTTAACTCTACACTTTGGTCAAAATAAGAAACCACAGTTTTATCTACTAACGGTTCCCGCTCAGGTGATTTGAGGTATGAAGTGTGTCGTTCATTTTCAAAGTTCATCCAACTCTCTTTCTTCAAAAAACTGGCTGCTCATGGAAGACATTCCAGGAATCTGGTGTCACTTAAGCAAATTAATCATCCTTTGTGGACAATGCTGAAAATGGAATGAGGTATATGTTACCACCGCTTTCTTTGTTTCATTTCATCTCTCAGTTGAAGTAATAATCTCTCCAACTTCTGCTACTTAACTCAGTCAACAGTTTTTTCACATTATTATATGCTTAACTTTGTTAGAGACTGATTTTCTTATAATTTTGTTAGAGAGATTATATCATTCTACAATTTTGATTTAAAGTGAAAACTCTTTGTCATACTATTATCGTGGATGTAGCCCAAATGGGTGACAAATAAGTTTGACACAATTTGGTTTATACTTTAAAAGAACATTAAAAAGATTGGGAAAAGATTTGTTTGTTTACTTAATTTATTAGCTAGCTTAGTAGTTGGATGAAATTTCTGGCTTATGTAAAGGATAAAGATTCCAAATTGATTTGGGTTTGGTGTAGGTGTGGAGATAAACTTGGATGAATCTTATTTGGGATATGTGGTGTGGCTGCCAAAGCCACCAAACCTTGTTGCGTATACAATGTGGCTTCACCAGCATATATTAGTGATTCTATTTACAAGGTGTGTTATTTTGGTTCTTTTTCTTTGAATGAACATCTCATGTTGAATAATATAGAAATTTTGAAGGAATGACTCTTTCTCTTTCAAAATGAGTGCCATTAAGGATCAAGAGATCTCATCTGTGCCCCTTTTAAAGGGTTGCATTCTAATGGTTTGTCGTTTGGTAAATTTAACAATAATACATAATTATGGCTAAAATTTAAGGCTGTTAGGAACCTATATTGAATCCATCAATGTTGGTCTTATATATGCATGGGTTGATGCCTTCTTTCAAAAGCAAGGCTGTTTTTTCACGGTTTGGGAGAGCATTTGTATTTGAACTGAAACCTACGAGGTAGATAGCATGTTTTATGTTACTTGCTACTAACATAGGTCCCTTTTTTGGGTAAATTTGGACCTTTGATCAATAACTTACTTCAAGTGTTTCTCAAACTGTGGACATATATGCTTGCAGGCGCTTTTTGTTTCCTCCCCTGAGTATTGAAGAATATAATGATCGCATAAGGGCAGTAGTACGCTGTGAAGCACAAGTATGATTTCAATTTTATGTTTACTTTTGAGTTGCATGAATGATATTGTGGCTTTATAAGTTATGCTTATTATAGTTATAATTTTGTGATTATGCTTTCCATTGGTCTAGTTGAATATTCTTCTGTACCGATCTCTCCGTCCCAAGAGTTGCAATGTTTATTATCAAATTGAGTTAGTTTGTAGCTTCATAGCAATTCGTATAATAGTTTCTGCACTGTTATTTCTTGTCTGGATTACACAAAATTGTGAAAATAAAACATGACTAAAGAAAATTTGTTACTTGTGCTTGGTGAAAATTGTAACATTTGTATTTGCACATTCAGGATCCTTTGCTCCAGAAACTTCTTGATGATAAGTACTTATCAGCGGAAGAAAGGTAGATTTGATGCTCTTCATAGGCTTTTTTTCTACTAATTTTTTATAGTTGGACTTTCATCCTTTCGAGAAGTAAGATATGTACAAATTGACAATCTTTGATGCCTTCCTCCTCAATCTGGAGGTTATAAAAATCACTTACATGCATAGATTTTTCATGTACAATATGATGTTCCGATTCTAGATTTTTAAGAGCAAACATGGAGATGATCTTCAACATTCATTCATCTCGTAGGGCCATCTTGAAGAAAATTTTCTGTGCACGTTTTATTTCTTGTGATCCAGAAGGTTTTTGCTCATGATGATGGCAATACTTAACATTCCACTTTTAATCCTTCTATTCTGAGTGCTTGAAATGACTTTAATGATAAATTACTCTTTTTTGTTATGGTCGTTAGTGACACATATTTCATTTTAATGATAGAATTAACAGTCCATTTCAGCATAAAAAGGAGAGTGACATTCAGGAAAACGAGGATCTTATCATTCGTGTCAACCTTGTCAAATGAGAGAAATCTGCTAAAACTCTCAATTTGAGTCCACTTTTTTTTACCCTAAATGTATTGTTACTTTCTGCTGCTATTGCATCTCTTTTAATGCGAGAAAATTATCTTTCAGAACTCTTATTAAAGTGCTGCTGAAATTACACTGATATTCATTTGTTCAGAGTTGGCATTTGACTCATAATAGTTGATATTCTTTACCGCAGGGATGTTCTTCACTCGGGAAAGAATATCATCTCTGCTAAAGCACCGACAAAAAAAGAGCTGGTACAACAGTTTACAATAGAGCATCTTCGCTAGAAACGCTAGTTAGTACCCTTGTACCTTGTTTTTTTCTTGCATAGTATTTGTTACATTTAAGAATGCATTAGTTGTCACTCTGGGTTCCCGTTAATTGTTTGCCTTAACTGGTTCTTGTACACAGGTTGGTAATCTGTACCTGACAAATGCAAATCGCTTGGAAGAAGTCATGGGAAAACTGGGATTCTTAACTGGTTCTTCTACACAGCCGATTTTAGAGGAACAAGTAGCAAGTTAATTGCTGAGTCATGCTGTTTGTGGTGTCTCACTCGAATATGCAAAAGTCGAGACGATTTGCATGATCGCGTCGCGTCAAAATAAATAGATAGGCAACATGTAACATGCCATAGTTAAGTCATGCATGGAATTTTTCAGAGAAGTTGTGGTGGTATTGTGCAGCAGAGATGGAAGGGAAGCTGGGATTTTAAGTGCTGTTCACTCGAACTTCATGCATGTTTAGTTTTAGGGCATTGGATGCCCTTGTAATTTTGGTATTGTATAATTTTGGATATCATCAAAATAATACCATTTGATAGTTATTCAAAACACGGGTAATTTCCTCTCTTTTTCCTTTTAATTATGTGTTTTGAATCGTAAATTAGTGGTTGTTATGTTCCCGAAGGAAGTTGAGTGAATTGATAGCTCATCATCATCTCCTCCAGTTTTGACCAACATCTCTAAGTCTTAACTTCAACTTTGATTCTACAAAGGGACATCCTTTGAATTCTCAAAATGCTACAATTGTGATCAATCTGCTCGTAATTTCTCTCCTTACAGGTAAAACCTCTAGTTTTCACCAACATCTCTCAAGTCCTATGATAGGAACCCACTCCAATTACTCAACAATTTTGGGCTGAGCCATAGGTCTTTCATGGGCTTGGGTAGAACTCTTCTTGAAAAACCAGTTTGCCAAAGGAGAGTGCCCAAGCCTTTATAACCCATATGCCCACCATTTTCTCTTTCAATGTGGGATCCTAACATTCCACCATGCTTTCGCAACCGACGTCCATGTTGGCCTCTTTTCCCCTTAGGTGACTACGCGGATCCCCTTTCCCTAGGGCCTTCTTGCCCTTTCTCGGGGTAGCAGTCTGGGCCCAAGGTCAGCATGCCACACGTGCACTGTCATATAGGCGCAGAATCATGCTCTGATACCAATTGATAGTAACTCACTCTAATAACTCAACAATTTTGGGCTGAGCAATGAGTCTTTCATAGGTTTAGATAGAACTCTCCTTGCAAAACCGGCTTGCCAAGGGAGGGTGTCCAAGCCTTTATAACCCACATGCCCACCCTTTTCTCTTTCAATGTGGGATCCTAAAATCCTACCTTTAATTTTTTTTGTGAAAGAAGTGCTGAATATCCAGCACCATTGCAGTTTCAAGCAATTGTTATGTTTTGTCATTGGATCTGAATTGGACTAGGTAATCTGGCCATAGGAATTCTAATATAATCTTGAATCTGGACCATTTTATCATCTCTTTTTTGTCTATATTAGCATCACTTTCTACCAGAAAACCAAACCATTTCTCCATCGCACATCCTAGATTCTTTTCATTTTATTTTATTGACATTGAGGATACTATGTTAATGTAGCTGGTATTTGGAATGCTGTCATTTTATGTTAATGTAGTTATTTTGTGCTAGTTGCGTTCATGTTGTGCAAGTGGTAATGCATTCACAACATATTGACCCATATTCTGTATCTCTAGTTTCAGTGCTAACATTTATAATTATATGTGCATTCGTTGACAGTTTTGCCTTTGTGATGTTCTTTGTCATGATAGATAAGAACAGTGAAAGTGAGCAATGTTTCATTAGGTGCATCTGAGCAAGATATAAAGGAGTTCTTTTCCTTTTCTGGGGAAACTGAACATGTTGAGATGCACAGGTTTGTTATATATGAAATCTAAGTTTTATTACCGTCCTTTATCTTTTATTATTTTTTGTGGTTGCTTGGAAAAAGGGAAATGTGAAATTTGAAATGATTAACTCTTTCTGAGGGTATTTTGGACATAATTATATGGAAGAAAGAATACTAAGGTTCCCATATAATCTTATATTATTTTGATTATTATTTTTTCTTTCAGTGGCAATGAGGGGTCTAAAATTGCATATGTTGTCTTCAAGGATCCCAAGGGGGCAAAGACAGCACTTCTTCTTTTGGTGCACTATCATCTTATCTTTTGAGTTCTTCTTTTCATTAACATCCCCTGCACTTAGTATGAAATTTTTAACTTCATAATCTTGTCTTATATCCTATTTTCAAGAGAATTTTGATCATTATTACTTTATTTTCATTAATGTTACTTTCTATTGTTTTTTTAAAGTGACATCATACTAAAGTTCTTTTTTTTTTTTTTTTTTTTGTTTTTTTTTTTTTTCATGCTGCGGCAACCAGGAAATCTTGCACTGGAGACATCTTGTGAAAGAAGTGTTGAATATCTGACACTATTGCAGTTTGAGGCATTTGTTATGTTTTGTTGTTGGTCTGAATTGGACTAGGTAATTTAGCCATAGGAATTTTTATATAATCTTGAATCTGGACCATTTTATCAACTCTCTTTTTTTTTTTTTTTTTTTGGTTGCTGTCTATATTAGCATCAGTTTGTACTAGAAAACCAAACTATTTCTCCATAGCCCATCCTAGTATCTTTTCATCTGTCAGTGCAGCGATTTTCTCTTTAGCTTCTTGTTGTGTATGCAAACTCAACAGTTTTTTTTCATTTTATTATAAGCATTTTTATAATATTAAAACTAGCATCATCACGTGGGCCTTTTTAGCTTGATTATGGCAGCTCATGGTTTTTGATGCGGAACCTAAGCTACGCAAGAATGGTGCCATTCATGATTCAACCAAAAATCCTTTTCTCCCAAGCATTTGAGTTCAGAAATTGCTGCTAGAGATTTGGAATAATTTAAAAATATGCTATGAACTATCAGCACTACATTGAAATTTAATTACAAATAGCATTCTTCTTTCATTAAATAAATCTTCGTTTGCACAAAAAGTTAGAACAGATTAATTTATTTGTTCAGCATGTTTTACATCACAAACTCATTACTCGTTACTGTCATGAATTATTAAATTTAGTCTTAAGCAACTCCTAAATCACAATAGTGGCCAACTTCTAGTAGAGATTTTATTTATTTATTTATTTTGAAAATAAGTTAGAACAGATTTGTTGAAATCAAAAGAATAATATTATTGATATTAAAATGTTTTTGTATTTAGATAAAAGCCAAATTTA